AGTTGAGGGGAGTGGCAGCAGGCACGTGCTGTCAAGATATAGCGTGATCAGAAAGACATGCTATGAGAAAGCATGTTCAAGAATACACGCCAAGGGATAAGAATAAGCTTGAATGTTGATAATGAGCATGACCCAATATTGGCACGCTAACAGCCTCGTGGCATTTATGCCGCGCGGCACGTGCAGCGGTGATGGGATGGTGGTGGTGGTCGTGACCGAGCCCCAATCTGAAGCACGCGGATGCGCAACAAAAGGGGGTGGTGGTGGTGGTGATGGCGGCAATGGTGGTGGTGGTCGTGACCGAGCCCCAATCTGAAGCACGCGGACGCGCAACAAAAGGGGGTGGTGGTGGACGAGACATAAATGACCGCGCCCGGACTTGAACCGGGGACCTGCAGCGTAACCAGCAATTGGCAACTGGTGCCAAAGATGTGGAAATGTTAAGCTGTCGCGCTAACCAACTGCGCCACGCAGCCTCGATACCAAGGTATGCCATAGTATTTCACATAGACAATGATGTAAATTCCTCTCCGCAACCGATTTCTGAGACCGGCCTCTTGACCAGCAGAGCGCCCGTTGACGAGAACGGCGCCGGCGGCACGCATGCACGCGGTCGGCCGCATCAGCGCATCAGGAACAATGTGAATCTTGAATTATTGTGAAGTTGATGAGACCGTCCGCGACTTGAAGTCGAAGTGCAAGCAACCGAGATGCTGGAGCTGTCCTCTGGCATTCAACATCACAAGCGGTCGTCTTTCCTCCCACACACAGCTGGCTGACACTGCAGAATACCCAGACGGCACACGGACCATGCGACAGAGCGTGCCGCCCTTCGTTCGATGATTGCATTCTGTGCACAGCCACTCTGATCAAATAGCGGGCAGGCACTTTGGTCCGAAGTGATCGATTCCGCTTTGAAGACCGTTAAAGGCCGCGTCGGAAACCATGCCTCTGCCAAAGGCTCTGCGACGACCAGCTCACACACGCCAGACCACGAATCTCGTCGATGGCGTGCTGCCTGATCAGGAGGATGCCTCGGGTGATCAACGAGCTGCCACTGGAGGGGTCGTACGAGAGGGGAACGAGCACGCCAATCTTGCCCGACCCGCTTCCCTTGATCACAACGGAAGAGCGATCTCGCGCACAGCCACCCCCTCTACCGAGTCGACTGAGGAAAATTTCAAAGCGGCGCTGCTCACTTCCGGAGAAGACACCGCGGCGCTGGATGCACGCTACGAAACGTCCAAGTGGGAATGCTGGGCGTATTATGTCTACTACATTGGGAACAGCGGTTTAGGCCCGTTCAACTATTCGCCCTCTCAAGCTCAGAACCTCTTGACTCTAGCTGCGGAGAAGGCTGGCAACGGCACATGCGGGGGCGATGCACAGCCTGTATGCAGACTCCGCTGGGCCGGTCAGGATCGGACTGTGCAAAGTATTGTGCTGCTCGCTAATGGAATCTCGTGAGTGCATAGCGATCGCGGGCTCGGGCTGTTCTTTGAATGGATGAACGTGCCCCGAACAGTCGGGCTTAGCTAGGCGCTGTCTCGGGCTGATGGGCGCGGTCTTAGGCAGGAAGTCTTGGTCGGACCGTGTTGTAGGCCTTGGGCAGACGTTCTTCGTCGCGTGAACCCAAGTGCAGCTACATCAGTCAGCCTTCGTGGATGCTGTTCTTCTCCGCTGTCGTCTGATCCTAACGCACGTCTTCGATGCGATCACCGTTGCTCCTTGCATCAAGCTTTGCGATACAGGCAGCACTCTTCCTGATCATCGGTAGCATGGCAGACTACGGCAGGTGGAGACCTTATGTCCTGATCGTTTCTACTCTGATCAGCATCGGAATTTCGTTTGCCTGGCTTGGTGTGACGGACGCGGACAATTGGCGCGTGGGCATTGCCCTCTACATCCTGGGGCTGATAGGCTATCAAGTCTCGTTGACGTACTGGACTAGCGCATTCCCGGGTTTAGCCAGGAATCTACCAGAGATGCGGGAGTCGGCAGAGAAATTACAAGAAGTCCCTCCTCGCACCACCCCGGAATCACACCACGAGCTGGACACCATGACCCGCAATCGGATCGCAAATATCGCATTCGCAGTCTGTTCTGCTGGCGAGCTGGTCGTGCTAGCCATCATACAAGGGATGCTCGTCGCTCTCCATAGCGACGCGTCGACCGAATCCAACACTCGCGCATTGTCCATCGTGACCGCCTTTTCAGGAGGAGTGTGGTTCCTGGTCGCGCTGCCTTGGTTCATTTTGGAAAAGCACAGACCAGGTCGAAAGCTACCCGCAGGTCACTCGTACCTTACAGCAGGTATAGTCACTGCTTGGACTACCGCCAAGCACATTTGGCAGCTGAAGCAGTCACTGCTCTACCTTGCGTTCTACTTCATCATGGGCGACGCTCTCAATACCTCGGTCACCGTCATCTCAACTGTCCAGAATCAACTCATCTCCTTCTCGGGTCAGACCTTCAACCTGCTGCTCATTGTCGGAATCGCCGCTCAGGGTGTAGGCATCTACTCCTTTTGGCGCATACAAAAACACTTCGCGCTGACCACAACGACAATGCTACGTTGGGTCGTTCTCTTCATTATTCTCCTGCAACTCTGGGGTCTCGTTGGCATTTGGACCCTTAAATTTGGCTTTCACAATGTCTGGGAGGCATACGCATATCAAGCTTTCTATGGCTTGGTAGTCTGTCCATGGTACGCTTACTCGCAAACGGGCATTTCCGAAGCCTCGCCCAAAGGCTACGAATTTGCTTTCTTCAGCCTTCTCAACCTCGTGGGCAGGACATCTTCCTTTATCGGACCTTTTGTCTCTTCGGCGATTGCGCAATACGGCAACGAGAGCTACCCTTTCGGATTCTTGCTGGGCATGGCAGTGCTGGGAGGTCTGCTGTTGATTCCTATGGACGCAAAGAAGGGAAGACAGCAACAAGCTAGATTCATTGCAAGACAGAGCCGAGATGCCAGAACACAGGCTATGCTGCAGGCCGCGACTCATCAGCAGTCTCTACAAGTCACCTCTCGTACCTCAAAAGATCTCCAAGATGCCAATGTCGTATAAAGCATTCCTACCTCTGTCCATCCTTGCCCCCTGCCTACAATCACGTGAATGCCGAATTGCACCACTACAACTGCAGTTTGATGTTTCGTGGTCTTGCGCTCTCTGCCACAGTCGCTATGCGAGGCAAACGACACAGGCAGCGTTCACCAGCACAGTGCGAGATGCAAGATATTGATGATGTATTCCTGGTACACACACACGACCGACAGTGGTGCAGGTCATTGAAGCACGATAGACAGTAGTAGTCAAACGAGTGAGCAATGGGAGCTACAATGGACACACAACTGGCGAGCAGGGACTGCAGCAATGACTCCCACAGCTTCAGAACTTAGTGGGTTAGTGAGAGGGCCACTTGCGCGGAGCGACCGCTCATCGACGCAAAGCAGTTGCCTCCACTCTTTTGTGCGTCATCGCTAGCATGCAGGAGCCTACCACTAGGCAGCCCCTTACGTGCTGTTGAAGCTGGGCTGTTAAGTTGCAAAACTGATGAGACATCTGCCTCTCTGCAACTCCTTGTGTCCATTCACCGCCCTCCTGAGCCCGTCCTGATGGACCCTTCTTCAGGGTTGGCAACAGAGGACCCGCTTGGGCCAGCCGACTCGGCAAAGCGCCGACCTGAAATGGATAGACACAGCAAACATCTAGGGGTGGTGAGCTGTTGGCTACATAGCCTGCCCGTTTACCTGCCACAGCAAACTGCTAGAAGTCCGCTCCGGCACTAAGCCCGGACGAAATGAAGTGGTTAGGGTATTGTTGGATACGCTGATGTCAGCATTGTGCAGTCGTGCGAGGCTTCTTGTTGGATTACAGGGACAAAGATGGTGGTTTGTTCGAAAGAGGGAGTGACCGGTGCAGAGCACGATTGGCGAGTCACTGGGCATGAAACTCAGTGAGAAAGGCTATCGCTGCCACGTGTGAGCTCCCTCAAGCACACCCAGCAGCCGGCCAACACAGCAACAAGGTGTGGGGATGCCGAGCCGATCGCTACGACCAGGGGAAGCAGTAACCATGCAGCAGGACCGCACTTGGTTGATCCCGCGCAAAAGCAAACGGCAAGAGATAATGGGCAGGAAACGTGCACACCCCTTATCCACGTAAAGGCCCATGCGCAAGCAGTAATAACGGGGCGCTCAGCAGGCGGAGTTATGTAGGTACTGGCGAGAGGCCCCCGACCTCACACGGAAATGCCATGCACACAAGCTGGGCGATAGCCCAACTCCGAAAGCATGGTGGCGTACCGCGCTAGGCAAAATGGACCAAATGTCTGGAATTCCTCTCTCGCGACGGGATGTAGTGTGAGTAGTAATAATCACAATTTGCCACACAACTCACGGAAAAATCTGCAGCAACCCCGCCTGCATTCGCTGCGCACAAGCTCCGGTCACACGAGCAGCGACCGGGCCCACAGCTTAGTGAAGCCCGGCAACGATTTTGGTATCGAAAAGGAAATCAAGTCATAGTTATGCCTTTCTCGAACCAGGTGCGCCGTGTCGGGATGTAATTTGAATTTAATGCCGCGGAAATGCGCGCCAGGCCCGTGTAATCGCGAATAAGCCTCCACAATAATGTGCTATTTAGACGCTCTCATTCAATATTCACTGCTACTACGCTGCACTTGGGGTTGTGTTGCACGCATGCATGCAAGCAGGCCAGGTAGACGCCCAAACGCGAACTGCGCGCGCCGGCCTCTTTACGCGGCCGGTATGAGGTTCACGTGAGGCTGCGCGCAACTTGAAATTCAACCCACGTCCAGCAGAGTCTGATTCATGAGTCAAGAGTCACTGAACGGACATCCTCAGTCACGCATGAGTGAGAAGCTCAATACTCTCCACTTCGGCCGCGTCCAACCCAACACCAAGAGTACATACAGCTGAGCAGCACGGCGTCCATCTCACCTCTTCACCCCCAAGACTCTGTCCCCACACGACCCTTCCGCGCTTCTAGCTCCCCTCCGCCACAAGCGAGAATGTCCGAATTCTGGGTCTCTCGCAAGAAATGGACTTGTCCGTACTGCGACATTACCATCAACGATGATGTACCTTCGCGCATGCAGCACGAAAATGGGCTTCGTCACAAAGGCAACGTGGAGAGGTCGCTGAAGGGCACGTACAGAAAGGCGGAGAGGGAGAGGAGGGAAGAGGAGAGCGCAAGGAGGGAGATGGCTGCCATCGAGAGGGTGAGTTGAGCTTGGGCGCGTCGGTAGAACGAGAGGGCAGGCTAGAGTTGCGCTCTGCGGACGATTGATTAATGTGGCGTGCTGCGTCAGATACACAGGTGTGCGAGCTGACATGACTACTCTATCTTCTCGCTGCACCGCGAACAGGCAGCAGCAGCAGCGCATGCTGCAGATACGACAAGGGACGCTTCTGAAGCAAGTGCCAGCACCATCAAACCTTCAGCGGCCACATCTTCCAAGACGGCTTCAGCCCCGGACAATACCTCTTGGAAGCCCTCGGACAAATTGACAGCCTACGGAACAGTGAGCGATGCGTCCTACGCTCAAGAGTCCTATGAATCCACTCGGCTCAAAGAAGAGCAAGAAGCTGCGCTGCGCGAGCAAGAGCTGGAACAAAGAAGAAAAGAGGAAGGATTCGTGGGAGAGTGGGAGACTGTTGCTCCTTCGAGGCCCGTCGTGAACAGAGCACCGAATGCTCAGGATGAAGGCACGGAGTACGAAGCTGCTCGTGCGTTTCAAGTGAAGGAAAAGACGGGGCTGCATGCGCGCAACGACGATGAGGAGAATGCGACGGAGGAGATCAAGGTGAAGAAAAGGAGGATGAATGATCAAGAGGCGAGTTGGAACGAGGATGCGGTGAGGAGGAGAAGGCTACCTCAATGGCAAGGTCTCAAATTGGAGCCTAAGCGAGAAGACTCGACGATCGAGTCCCGTGTGGATTCATTTCGCGTGTCTGGTGGATCTCCTGCGTCGCCCAAGAAGGAGCAAGATGACAGCGCGGTCCCTCCGACGAAGGAGGTGGACGGCTCTTCGCGGGAGCCAAGCACGACTGGGCAGTCAGGAGCGGGCGCCGACGCTCCGAAAAGTATGTTCAAGAAGCGCAAAGCAGGAGCAGGTGCGGGCGCAAAGAAGGTTCGAACTGTCTGAGCTTGTCCGCGCTCAGCACACTTCATAAGGCATCGCACGCGCTTCGATCGAGGGACCGCGCATGACAGCGCTCGAACGAGGCGGAAGGCTCGATAAGCTCAACATTGTATTTCTACTACCACGCATGTACACAGTGCGTCATAGCAGATCATCATCATCGTCATCCCCACCAATCTGTTCCTTGTTCTTCGCCTGATCCTCGCTCCTGACCTGTCCGGTGGTGGTAGCAGCAACAAAAACTGGTCCGCCTGCGCTGCCAATAGTGGCCGCACCAGCTCTTTTCCTAGAAGCAGCCTCTGCTCTAGCCATTGGATCATCTTCCTCGTCTTCCTCTCCTGCCGCTCCTTGCGCTTCGGCGGCACCTGCTGCAGCCGAGAGCGCGGCCGATGCGGCAATGTAGGAGACGTCGGTGTTGAACTGAGCTTGCACTGCTCGCTTTATGCGCACTGCGAAAGCATGGGAAGGCGGTATTACATCAAGCCAAATTTGGTGTCAGTCGAGTCCACCTGATGAGCGCAGCGGGACAGTCGAAGGCTTCATAGCTGCACGACACTCACGCATCTCCCGGAACGTGTCTTCTGAGCCAGTCTCGATTTCGAACTTGTTCCACTCTGACCAGAAATCGGGTCTGGTCTGAAACGCCGAGAGTAGAAATGTGCAAGGAACCATATCAGGATTGAGAGACTCTTCGACGGCAAAAAAGGAGACACCTGTCCAACTCACTCGCGGGTCGCAGAATTGGCTAGCATGGGCATAGATAGCTCTAGCTCTATCGATCTCTCCCAATTTCCTCTCGAGAGCAGCAAATCGCAGGCACATTTCCGCCGTTTGCTTGTCCGGCAACACTTCGATCGCTCGCTCGTAGATCGATCTGGTAGCCGCCAAACCAAAGTTGGCCGCTGCCTTGGCAATGTAGAACGTGAACATCTGCGTAGGACGATTCCAATTCGGCGAGCAAAGCAATGTGAGCTTACACTTCGTCTACAGATGCTTGCATATCGCAGCACCTCTCACAGGTGCGCCGAGTCCAGAACAACTCACATCAAACCTGTCCTCATCCGACACCTTTTGCGTTGCGCGTTCATAGATGCTCAGTGCGCGCTTTGCTAGTCCGTGCTCCTCCTCCAACGCTCCGTACTTGAGCAGCAGAGGCTTCGCAAAGTTAGAAGGACAAGATTCGAGCGCTTGTTCGAACAGATCCCTGGCTCTTTCGATTTTGCTTCCGCCCTGTCGAAGAACAGCGAAGGAGGTGTCTGAGTCAGGCGGACCCACACAGCACGCGACTTGTGTCCCGCTCAGCCCACACCACAACTCACGTATCGCTTGACAAATTTGCTGATGTACACGTTCCAAATCTCAAAAGCGATGGGGTACCCAAAAGCCTCTACTCCCCTTTCGTATACCCTGAAAGCGTCTTCAAAGTACTTGTGCTCCTCCAAAAAGCTAGCGTAATTGACGATGATTTGCGCGTTGGCAATCTTCAGCTCCAGTATCCTATCGTACGCCCTTTTGGCTCCCTCGACCGTTCCGATGCTCTCTTCCAGGTCGACGTAGAAGCTCCACAACTTGGTGCTCTTGAAGAGCCTCTTTTGTGCGCTGAGCGCGTCGTCGTGGTAAGAAATGTGCTTGATCTCGCTCGATTTGACGGGCGCCGAAGCGGCTCGAGACATGACACGAAGTGCTGCTTCGTAATTCTCAGCTCGCACTTCCATCTCTGCCCATTCGCACCACACCTCTGCAAGATCGTCGACCCGCTTGAAGTTCACCTTGACCGCCCTTTCAAAGACGAGCCTGGCGCTATCCAGGTCCGCCTCGCCCTCCTCTCCCTCACTGCTGCCTCCCACTTCATAAAACTTTGCAAAGTTGAGCCACAGCTGGTGGTAGTTTGCCGTGGCTTTTCGCGGGTTGATGGTGGCCGTAGCCTCATTGTAGACGTCTACGATCTTGTCGTCCTCATTGCCCTGCAGGGCAATTTTCTTTTCCCACTCCTGCACATCGTCTGGGTTGCGCCTGAGCAGGACCTCGTTGATTAAAAAAGGTCTCCGCTCCATGAGCAGCTCAAAGTTCTGCATCCTTTCGTCCAATTCTTGCTCTTTCAACCTTCTCTCCTCCGCTTCCCCTTCATCTTCTTGCTCTTCGCCCAACTCTTCCATGAGGTATCCGATCACATTTTCGCTCGTCTCTGCATACGCATCGAAGATCTGCGTAAAGTCTCGCACAGTGACGACGCTGGAAATGCCTTCCTCGAACGTCCCTTTTGCGACCTCTAGCTCCCCACGCTGGATCCAATACGTCGCTAGGCCAGTCCACAGACGTCCCGCTTGATCAGGAAACTTGTTGATGCCGAGTGCGCGTAGAATGCCATCAACAGGTATGGGCATCGCGTCCAGAGCATCGAGATCGGATGCGCGGATTACGGCGCCCCTTTGCGCTAGTGAAGCGGCACTAGACTCGGCAACAGCGCCCTCGGCACTGGCCTTGCCATAGTTTTGCAGATCCTGTTCTTCTTGGTGATCCAAACCAATCTCATCTCCGTGCTTCTCGCACAGTTCCAGCCACTCGATCAAGAGCTGATACGGGCTTTTGCCTTCTGGACTGGTGTATGTGCCATCCTGAGCTTCTTTGGCCAGCTTGAGTAGCAACTTGGAAGCTTCTCTGCTCCTCCGGATCTTTCTCTCGTTGACCTCTTCGTCCTCCTCCTCTTCTTCTTGCTCAGCAGACTCTTCCTCCACCTCTTGTCTCTGCTTGAGCAAGATGCCAACGTACCTCTCTGTCAAGCTAGGATCTACTCTGAGATACCTCCGCCAGATCATGAGACACGTCTCTCCTCCTACACTCTCTGCCCATCTCAGATAAGGCTTCCATACGCGTAGATGCAGTGATGGAGGAAGCGTTCGCAGAGCTCGATCAAAGGTGCGGCGTGTATGCGTTCGGGAAAGCGTGACTGGGGCGAGAGGGTGGGTGAGGATGGAAAAGTAAAGAAGCCACAATCGAGGCATCTGAACGATGTTGCGAGTGCGTAGCGAGATGAGATTAGCATGCTCACCAAGGGCGCAGACGATCTCTCTCGCCTCAATCTTTGTAGCGCACTCACCTTTGGCAAGCACATCAATGCTCTTTCAAACGTAGCTGCCAAGCTCTCCCACTCTCTGTGACCCACTCTACCATCCAAAGCCTTGCCCTCTCTCCACTCCCACTCTTCCTCTTCTTGCTGCTCCAACAGCGCAGGACCGGCATCTAGCGCCTGCCTAGCACTTTCTAGCGTCTTCTTCTTCCAAGCCTCTATGCCTCCCTTTGGCTCGCCTGCGATAAAGCTGCTCCTTCTGAGCAGATACTGCAACCAGACAGCATAGCACTGCGGAAACTTGACCAATGTCCTCTCGTACACACAAACGACGCGTCTCAGCGCGATTCTCGCCTCCTTGTTGCTCAAAGGTCCCAACAAATTCACCTGAGCCGCGCTCCAAATCGCATCGGGTCTGTTCCAGATGGGCTCGTTGCTCAGTTTGGAAGCGATCGTATCTCGCACGGGAATGTTGGAAGTCTCGACGTGGGTGATGTACGCTCTCCATGCTCGTAGATCGTCCGAATGCAGCAGCAGATCTTGTTCCAGCGCTAGATCGCCAGATGGGATCACATCATCATCCGTCAAGGGGTTCGGGAAGGGCATAGTCAAAGGAAAGAGGTGCTGCATGGATGCGATGGATGCTGGTGAAGCTGAGTTAGACCCACTCGCATGGCGGTCATTGCCGGACGAAGTGGTAGTAGCTGTCGGCATCTTGTGCCCACCGCCTCGCCGTGTCGTCACTGCAGGTTTCTCGACAGAATCTGCCTGAGCGTCGGTAAATGATGGTGACGCTTCTTGGCGCAAGGGTCGACGTTATGAGTCAGGCGGATCTGAAGGTCTAAGGGCTCAATGAGGGCAGACGGAGCAACAGAGCTCCCGGAGGGTGGCAGGGCATTGGAGAGCGAAGGAAGTGTCATGGTTTTCGGAATCACGAATGCGAGGCAAGAAAGCGCGGATCTCCAAGCTTGCGCGTCCCACTCATGGTTCACGATGAGCGCTGTCTCGATTGTCACGTGTCATTGATCCCGCCGTGACTCAAGACTTGCACTATTCACGTGATCGACTATTGAAAAGGGCACGAGTGTTGAGTCAAACAGTGTGTTGATGAATGTTTGAGTCTTAATTCATGCATGAGCGGATTCCGAGCCCGACTTGTGAGTATCTATCTGACACCACACCTACGAATGGGACGGGGGTCAAGGTTCGGATGCTAGGGGGCTTCCACCATGGAGGCGGCCAATCAGACGCCGAAGCAACAGACAAGGTTGCGACATGAAATCCCCCATCGTATTTTGGCACATACAGACCGTTGGGCATGACTCGCCAATCTCATCAAAGGCGACAGGGGGGCAGCGGTGTACCGAGCTCGCATGCACGAGAGCATCTCCTGGCTTCACAATGGCAATGACCCAAGTCGAGATCTGTATGAGATTCGCGATTCTGGCGCCAATCGGGACTTGCAGCTCTAGAACCGTGAATGTCTAGAAAGACTTGCCATCGGGTTCTATGGGTGACGGGGAAGGTTCGGAAGGGCGTGAAGAACGTCAGCACCTGCACGTGCCCTGGCTGAGTGTTTTCGGAGGAGGTATCACTACTACTCACGTTGTGCTTTGAGGTTGGTGATAAAGTCAGCAATGACTTGCTCATTCGCCGCTTGACGTTGCTTTCGTCGCTCTTCGTCGGCATTGATGAACGCTTTACTCAGGTGGTAGGTGCCGAGACCAAAACCTCCCACACCCAGTCCCGCATACCTGCAAGGATGACATGCAGTGAAGAAGTGGCGAGTCAGCACCGCCAGACCCGAGCGGTGTCAAGTTACATCGACCTGCTCTGGCACTCGCCCGAAAATTTTGGCCTTTCGTTGCCAAGTCATGGGCTTTTTGTTGGGCACAACGCTCCCATCAGGTCCATGGACGAGCGGAGTGCCCACGGCAGGCTGGTGGTCGTGGTCATGCGCAAGAGTGCTGGTGGTGCTGGGTCTTTCCACCAGACCTACCTCGGCTTGATGCGAGCCGCTGCCGCTCAGAGTGCGTTCGAGACCTTTGGCCGCCTCCGTGAATTCGTTGCGTGCCTCCAGCACGAGAGGGACAGCTAGAACGCCATGGTTGCCAGAAAGCGCCATGCTGGCCGCGAGCATGAGTGGCAGAGTGAATACTTGCATATTGGCAAAGCCGTCGACTCGAATGAAAGAAATCCTCTGTGGGAATTTTACTGCTGAATATGAAAGTAAACGATATTGTTAAAAAGCGAGACCAGCTCGGGTGGAAATGTTAGAAAGTGGTCAGTGTTGTTGACAAGGGATGGACTGAAGTCGCGTGATGGGTAGTGAGATGCGCCTTCTCATACTTTTTATACTTTTGCTGCGCTCTCGCGGTTCGCCTTCACCTGGCCCTTTGCCACAGAAAACCATCACTTGGTGTTCAGACCGGCCCCTTGGATTCCTTTCGTTGAGCTGCGCCAGAGTTGTGACAGCATCGATGTGCACCGTTGAGGTAGGTCGCACTGCTGATAGGTTGCCACACGAGAAGGCTTACCAACTGCGCCGGTGACTGCGCCAGAGTTGTGACAGCATCAATGTGCACCGTTGAGGTTGGTCGCACCGCTGATAGGTTGCCACACGAGGAGGCTTACCGACTGCGCTGGTGATGACGCCTTCATTTTGAGATGTTGGCCTTTCATTCAGGTCGATTGGCTTTGGCTCTGCGCATTGCATCTTCGAGAATGCCTGTTGCTCGTCAGACACAAGTCTAGGAGACAAATGCGCCTCGTCACCGTTGGCCCTATAACGCCCTCAATTGGGCGCTTCTCCTAAGCACGATGTCTTCGATTGCTACGCAACACGTTCCGAAGCAACTTGGCCGGTCGTAGGCGTGCCCAAGTGTCTGCGCGCATCCTCTGAGAAAAGAAAGGGAGGTCAGGAAATTGAAAGCGGCTTCTGACGATAGTCGTTCCGCAGTTGATTTAGTCGCGGCATACAAGTGGCACGTTTGCGTTGTCAAGCGTTGCATGGCAGCGTCGATTCGGGATCAGCGCAGCGCATTCATGCGCCCACGCTCGGCACTACCGAGCTTTCATCTTCCAGCTGGTCCCGCGGCCCGCACCGCCCGCCGCCCATCTTGCCCGACTGCCTGAACTCAATGCTAAAGCGCCTTGCACTCAAGGCCCGCGAATCGCGAATGTGCGCACGATGCTCTGGATGCGTTCGTTTCGAGTTGATGCTTCACTTTCAGTGTAAAGTGGTGGACATGCTTTTCCCTCTCGACTGCGATCGCGTCGGTATGGTACATTCATCAGTTTGCTTCCTCTTGAGGATTGGACTGGCGCCGCATTTCGTGCTCGCACCTCCCCACTTCATGCGTAGTCCGCAGCATCCGCGATGCTGTCTGTATTCATCCGATGTGCTAAATTCCCCCATTACCCCGATCGAAGCGGCTTCATTGCTGCCAAGTCTTGCGTCCGTTCCGAGTCCGTCACTATGCGTCCACAGTCGCGAATGACGATGGTCATCTTGAAAAGCAAAGTCCCATGCATCCTGCTGCCAGCCAAGCCCAAGCCAAAGCCAAGCGCAACGTCACTCATCACTCATCTTGTGAGTTCGCGCTTCGCTCGCCAAGCATGCGCTAAATATGAGATGTGCGGAGAACGCGGGTTGTCACATGTGCGCATGCGTGCGTGTGGGTGCGTGGGTGCGTGCGTGGGTGCGTGGGTGCGTGGGTGCGTGGGTGCGAATGCGCGATGATAGCAGCAGCAAGGCGTTCCTTGCAATTCACGATTCACAATTCCGCGGAGATGAGAATCATGGGACGATGCCTGCCTGCCTGCGCCAAGTCAAAGCTAAAGCAGCAAATGACGAAGGGGCATCAATTTACAGCGATGTCTTGGCGAAGCAGCGATCTGTATGAAGGCCTGCCTCGGTTGTGATCTTATTGCTTGCAAGCCAGAAATAGATTGAAACTCTGTAATGGGTTGCTTGTAGCTGTGTCAGTCAGGCAGCAGCAGCAGCTGGTGCGGGTGCGGGTGCGATCCGCCAAGAGACCGCTAGCGAGATTCAGCAAGTCGTGAGTGGCAGCTTGTCCAGGGGCTACGTATCTCCCTGGGTCACCGGAGCGCAAATATCCATGAGCAGCGTCGGTCATTCAATTGTACCATACCGCAGGCTACTTGCGGATGACCCTCTTGGGGCCAAAGAAGCATAAAGACAGGACAAGTATGAGCTCCATCAGCATCGATCTCCCACTCCACTCTCT